GGAACAAAGGGCATCGCTACTAGGAGCAAGGACGCTACTAGGGGCTCGACATCATCTACCAACATCGACATCTGCCCACATCATCCCACCTCCACATCTGCAAAAATCTACAGTACATACACAAAACAGCTATTGGCAGCAGCTGGTCTGAACGAAAACCCTTCGCAGGAGCTTTGGGTGTTTGCAATCCCACCCGCTCCCAGAAAACCGGGCCCAGTGACCCAGGTGTGTAACACATGGAACTTTGAACTGACCCTGGTCCACCGTCGCGCTGGTGAGGATGTTTCGTGTAGCAATGAAGCAACAATTTCCCACCACCAATGTGTCAGGCAGCATGACTTCTGCAGCTATGGAAACTCCTCGACCAAAACGAGCACCGCACATACGCATGAAGGCTGGTCCCATGGAAGCGTCTTGCAGCAATTGGGATGCCTGATTGATCCACAACATCTTCAGTGAGACCATCTGGCCCCGGACGCTGGTCAGCAAGTAGCTACAGGGTGGCTTTACTCTGGGCAACAATCGGCAAATCAAAGCGGTCAGAAGCAGCTGCAGAGCCAGAATCAGGAGAGTACAAGCAAAGCTCCAAAGTGGGAGCTGTGGCAAGAAGCTGAGTACACTTTCTGGTAGGGAATCAAAGCGTTTCAAGTCAAAATCCACTGAGTCCTCTGAGCCTGCCTCAAGCTGAAAGATCATGACTGTGATAAAGGGTATCACGGCCTGCGGTGTGAAGAGCCAGTAAGTGGAAGCCATGAGAGCTGCTTTCAGACGAAAACTGCGCACCTCAGAAGCCAAAGGAATGCTACGGGGCTTCGCCGCATGACACTCGATCGATTCAGCTGGAACCCCAGCAACTCGGCCTGACACCTTGGAGCCGGGAACCATGGACAAAGCTTCCACATGGCTGGCGGCAGCGACCCGACTTCCTGGCTCCAGGAGCGAGTTGGCACCAACAAAGGCACCTTCGCCAACGGAAATGGATCTTAATACCATCTTTCCCTCTCCATAGTTCACGGCAGTAAGGCACTTCAAGCCATTCACGGTGGCCAAATGTCCCACTGACACAAGATCAAAAGCCACCACGCGTGTGAAGATCATAGCAGTCAATGCAACATCTGCACCAAGGGCTCTCAGGACCAGGTTCCGCAGAAAGTGGAAGGCCACACTGGTCCCGGGAGGTGTTTCGGTACCAATGATGGTGCCATCAGCAATACGCTCCACCAGCCAATGCCGCAAGTAAAACAAACTGTAAATGTCATGCTTTGCCTCCTTGTATCGTCCAATGAGCACCCACTTGGCAGCCAACAAAACAATGACTCGAAGGATCTTCTCACAAATGATGATTGCCCAAACCAGCAAGAAGCTTTGCCACAAAGGTACGACAAAGGTCAGTGGCAACAGCACCCTTTCTGCCAACATCATCCGAGATGCTATCAGCACCGGCTCCACCACAATGACGATTCCCTGCACCACGGCGCAAAGCACTGGCCAACTGTTCTCACCAAAGCTATGCGTCACCACCCCAAGAAGGCCTGGAAACAGCGATGCGGTCAATCGCTAGTAACGCTAGTATGTTGGAGACCATTGCTATTAGGTTGGAGGTCATTGCTAGTGCTGGCAGGTTGGAG